GGCCCCACGCGCTGCTCGACGTGCCGCGGCCCGGGAGGCGCCTCCTCCCTCGCTCCGAGCCGCCCGGCGAGCTGAGCAACCTGCGCAACCTCGGCGGGCACGATGGCGCCTCAGCCGCACCGCTCTCGCGAGAGCGCCCGCCGCCGGGCAGCCGCGCACGCGCGGYCCGTTGGGGAGGGGCGACGGCGCGCCGCTGCGCATGCGCAGCGCGGGGGAGCGTGTGGGGGGAGGGGCTGCGCTGCCTTCGCCTTAGCCCGTTTGTGGGCAGCGCATGCGCAGTAGGCGCCGCCGCGAGCGCTGCGCCGCTTGGCGCCAAGAGGCGCGCGGGGGCTACGTGCGCTCCCCTCACGCGCCGCCTCGCGCTCGACCGTTGGGCGCGACCGTTGGAGTCGTTCGAGCGCGYGCGGTGGTGGCGGCGGCGCTTGGGCTCCTCGCGGATTCACCGCGGCGGGGCCAGGCCGAGAGGCCTCGCGGGTCCTCTCCTGCTGTAARGTTCCATAAAAGCGTCCGGGCGTCGAGCGCCGGGGGCGTGAGGCGACGAGATGGGAGCCGCAGGCTCCTCCTGCTCCTAGAGAAACATTAACTTGCAGAGCTGTGCTGWCCTTTGGAAAGACTGTGGAAAGCGCAGTGTTGAAAACAACGTTTAATAGGCAAAGGGAAAAAAAATGCAATTGCCAGTTTTTACGGTTGACGCGTTTACAGGCCATCCATTTTCTGGAAATCCTGCGGCAGTTTGCCTGCTTGAAAATGTAAGTTTGCAAAGTTATTTTGTGAGAGTGACTGAAGCGGCGTTTACCTTTGTGTGCTTGAATGAGCTTGAGCACGAAGGACTAAATCTCACTTCGGTTTTTCTCTGAGGAGGTGAGTTTGCAGCCGGGGTTAGCTGATGCTCCAGGGCACATTAGCAGCACTGGAGTACATTTTTCTGTCAGAATTGCTCCGCACGAGGCACATGTTCTGTGTTTTTACAATAGGCCAATTTTATCTTAAGGGAATTAAGCTGAAAAGAAGCGTTGAGGATTCAGAATGAATTACTAGAAAGGAAATACCATAATGCTCTAGACAGTACCTAATATTTATTATAAAAATTGCTATAGTATTGAGGGTTTATGGTTATTTCCCTCTTTTTTTGTGGCAGGAAAAAAAAAAAAAAGAGGGACTATAGACCTGTATCTCAATCTCTCAGCTTTACTGTTTGTCTATGACAGACTAAAGTCTAACCAGATCCGAACCTTTATCACCTGAAAGTTGATAGTTGGAGTGAAAATTCATGGTAGTCAGTGTTGTGAACAATTTTTATTGAAAATTTGAGGGATGAAAATATAACTATAGCAGTCAGTGGTAGTTTGAAATGATAATATTAATCCTATCTAAATGTTTTCTTACAATACAACATTCTTGCCAGCTTATTAGCAATTACAAATGAGAATCTATTATTTTAAAGGTGATTCCCTGCCCTCTAAAGCCTAAGTGTGCCTTCCCAAAATAAAGTACCTGTAAAATTATGACTTTCTAATTAAATTTTACAAATTAACTTAAATATATCCATGTTTACATCCTATATACGTCCTATGGAGTATTTAGGTTTTGCCTTTTGAAGTTTTCTCCACAGTGCTCAGGGTTAGAGGCTTCATTTTCACATAAAAGTTGAGATCGTAACTAATTATTTTATTCTAAGCTCTAAGAAAGTGTGATGCAGCTGACAGCAAATTTTCTCTTCAGTTCCCTCAAGGTATCAGCATATGCTTAGCAAAACTTAACTGAGATGAGTACAAGAAAGAAAACCCTTTTCTGTGCTCGAGAAGTGCCACAGGATGGCAGTATTTCAGTGCAAGTCTGGCATTTTTAGTAGTATTTGGCTGGCCTTCGTTTTGGATTTGTGTTTTTGGACTGGTTGACAGTCAGAATTATTTTCCTGTAAACGAGATTGTCGCTATAAAAAGCTAGAGGTTACTTCATGGTATAGAATCTGTTGTGTGCAAACATGCCTTTTATACAAATGAGGAGTTGTTTCATAACTCTTCTTTGATATTGTATCACTAACTTCTAAAGCTGATAGAAGTTAGTGAGGCTAATAAATCAAATTATGAAGGCAAATCTTAATCTCTCACATGTTGCACCTGATTAGCTTATTTTAGTACCTTGTTTCATGAGACTTAATACTTGTTTGGCCAGTCGTCAGCATAATTGAAAAGCACTGGCACAAGGGTTAAGTAGAATTTTATGGAACCACTGCAAGTGTCCTGCGATCAATATTCAGTGGATTATGTCAGCAGATAATGCTGGTGTACTACAATAATGAAAATGATTATCCCATTTCTTGCTTAAAGATTTGGTTTTATTCTCAGAAATTATTTTGAACTAAAAAAAAGTATGATTTATTATAATGGAAGATGAAAAGATTAAATGACTGCATGTATTTGATAGGAAGTTTGACTCTGCTTATGGCCTAATTTTCATTGGATTTATTGTTTGAATGTTTAGGACTTGAGAGAAGACTTGCACCAAAAAATTGCAATGGAAATGAACCTCTCAGAAACTGCCTTCATTAGAAAACTGCACTCCACAGATGACTTTGCCAAAAGTGAGTTCTTCTGTTCACCCAGTGAAATCTCTTACAAAAAAAACTAGGAAGATTCTGTGAGTGTTGTTTTAGGGAGTGGTACTAATTTATAAGACAAGAAAATACGGGAGTTGTCATTTATCTTTTGCACACATTTTCTTAAAAATGTTTATATTGAATATCAAATTAATTTTACAATGTATGAACATTTAATATTCATAAAGTAGACAACACATTTTTGTACCTTCTAGTAAAAAGAACAAGTTACGTGTAGAAAATGTATAATTGAAATGCTACGCAAAAGTGCTTCAGTTAATACTTCAATTATATCCAGTCTTGGTTGACATTTTAATTACAATGATTTTTAACTGACATAGCTCTCGTATGAATCCCATTAATAGTAACGCTGTCTTCACTGGTGTATCTTGTTTCATTTATGGGGAGAAAAGCTAGTTTTACTGTAGTGATTAAAGAAAAGCATTGTTTTGCTAGTAGACAGCTCCTTTGCTCTTGTAACAAACTAACTTGGCTTTATCTGTAATACACTGACGCAAGAGACATGACTCAAAAGCAATGGTTATTCCAAAAAATCAGTGTAGAATAGATGCCTAAAAAGCATGTGTTTACGACTCATTGACTGAAATGCTATCACTTTATACAAAGATTTGAAATAAATTCAAAAAAAAAGTTCTTCTAAATAATAAAATTTCTTTAATGAAATTTCTTTTTAAGGTTCCTGCTTTGGGCTGAGATGGTTCACCCCAGCCAATGAAGTTCCTCTCTGTGGTCATGCTACGCTTGCTGCAGCTGCTGTGTTGTTTCACATACAAAGTAACGTACTTTTTTACAAGCTACATGTTATTGTAACTTTTCTAGTTACAGTATTTTCAAAATACTGAAATATTTCAAAATATTACAAAATTTCTTTCTAGTTAAGAAAATCTTTTTTTATTATCTCCCTAAAGCAAATATGGTTAAATCTTTAGTATGTTTAGAGAACACATGTGAAGACCTTAGTGTGTTTGTAACTGCTTTGTTAATCTACACTTCAGTTTCCATGACCCACTATCAGTCTTGTTAAAAGCAGGATGCAAGTTTCGTTTGAGAGAGATAGAGGAGAGTTTGATAAACAGGGAATATTGACCATTGTGTTGAAAACTCCTATACATTCTGGGAACGTGCAGGAAACAATCGCTGGTAATTACTGTGTTCATTAGCATTAATGGCTTATCAAGTTAGCTGGGAATTTTGTCTCAGAATGCAGTTTTGTTATATTTTAGCTATGTAGCTAACTTTCTGAATATACTCGGCGACTCTAGGAGCTGTAATAATATAGATTCAGTTCTTAGGTTAAATATACTATGAATATTGAAATATTGTCTCTCTAGAAAACTCAAATTCGGTTCTTACTTTTGTGACTCTGAGTGGTGATTTAAAAGCTAGACAAGTGGAAGATCGTATTGTCCTGGACTTACCACTTTACATTGCCTACCCACAGGTCAGTGAAAATTTCACTCAATTAAAAGTATGTGTATATATGTATACCCTCCTCATATATTTATCTGTGGGCTTATTTTTTTGACCCTTTTCTTTCTCCTCTCTAGGTGTTTCAAGAAGTAGGAGAATTAATAAAGGTAAAACTGGAATTTGCATTGATGTTAAAAGTATTTTTATTATGACTATACTGCCTTGCATACTAAAAAGACTGAGAAGTGACAATATCACATTGCTTGATGCACTTCTGTAGAGTATGAGAGCTGAAACTGCAGTCCAGAAAGTGGAGTTCTCCAAAATGTTGCAACTGAACTTTGGTCACTCGCTACTGCTGGCTGGAATGCTAGTATTTGAGCGACATCTTTATGCATGTGACTTAATGCATGTGAGGCGAAATCCCAAGTCACAGAGTCAGTTTCTGAATTTCTTTCCCAGTTGCCATACACCGAGCTGTTAGGCATGCTCATCTTCATGCTACATGCGCTTACAGCATTTGCTTGTCTTGCTTGTGTCTATTTGAAAGCTCTGTGAAAGATCTTGCATAAGTCTTTTTCCAGGAGAAGAATTCAAATTATTTTCCTTTGTTTCCTTTAACTTTTTCACCAGGCAGCCGTAGGTGACATGATTGTTCAAGACGTTCGTTATTCTCCTGATACAAAAAACATCCTGGTCCGTCTCAGTGATACTTATGAAAGGTGTCT